ACAAAATTGCTTGACAACTAAAAAAATAATAAAGTCAAAACGAGAATAGGTTGGTCTTGAAATGTGAATACGACGAAATAAACTATGTCAACCAGGTTATTCAAAATGAATATGTTGTCATATTTGATAGAACAGACGCGTCAAATTATCATTTGGGTCAAATTGAAAACGACAACAAGTGAATTGGAAAAAAGTCAATGTTCAAAATTTGTTTAACATTAGTTTTAATTAATGACAATTTTATTAATAGTTAATGGTTTTTAATTAGCAATATTGAGTATAGTAAATAATGGTTTAATATTTTCGGTCTAGTTCTTATCTTTGTTATCTTTTTAGAATATCGCTAAATAGAAAACAGACTTTATTTAATGTATATTTTTGTCTATAAACACTATTTTACAAACAGTAACGTTTTCAGACAGACTTTAAACAAATAATGATTATACCAATTAAACTTCAGGTATACATTAACATAATTAAATCTCGTTTTCTTTTTATCTTCATTGTTGTCTTCGTGTTTTTTGTATTTCTTTTTGTTCCAATAATAGTAATGCTTGTTCATTAAATTTTTAAACACTATAAGAACATTATTTTCAAATTATTCACTGCTTTCAAGTTCCGTACATTTGACTTTTTTTAAACATATTTAAAAACAATTAATACAGCAAGTCGCATTATAGAGGATGTTAATACTTTCCAATGAAACACACAAATAAAACCATTCCTCCCAATAAATTTGACTTTTTTAAAATATTTAACCTTTTTTAGTTGCGTACACGATTCAAATGAATTGTATTCAATCATTTGTAAATTGTGTGGAAAAACCATTTTACTAAAATTTCGACAATTTAAAAAAACAGCAAGCATCAACGACTTCTTAGTAACACGAAGAGTGACTTCTCGAGAAATACAAATCACAGGATCAGATTCTCTAATAAAAGAGACACATATTGGAAGCTCGAGACTCTTAAATTTGAAGCAATGGAAAAACGCTTTATTGCCAGTTTCCTTGAAGTGGGAATGGAAAACCACACAATTCAGATTACCACAATCACAGAAGGCAGAGTTTTCTATAGTAACCACACGAGTGGGGATTACACTGGATGATATATATTTATTACAAATGTGTTGTTTAAAATACGACTAACTATTTCTAAAATTTCATTGTTTGCGCCATGTGAGTTTAACTCAACAAATGGGTATCATATTTTGGTATTTCATTGTATTTTGGTTGTCGTGTAATTCACATTGTATTGCATGGAGCGTCTTTTAATTTCATCATCATCAAAAATTTCATCATTGGGGGATATATAAATAGATGGTTTGTAAATGTGAGAATAAGCGACGAGTGGAAGGTGTAAGGGAAATTATATTAAAATTGAAAGGATTCATATTATCTGTAAAGTTCTTACAAACTAACTCCAAATTAATGAAATTTGCAATTGTAATAAAATATTTTACAGAAATGATTTAATTGTACTTTAAAACAATTAAAAAATATCATTTTTATTAAAATATTGGTTTTTCACATAAATTCTTCCAGTTTTTCAATAACTTTTTCGATTGGAATTCTTTCTTTGGGGTCTTGTTTCCAAGCATTTTGAATGATGTCAAACTCTTTTATCGAGATAACGTCAGATCTGGCCAATCTTTTACCACTGGAAATGAAATCTGCGATATTCCAAACATGTAGAAACCTCTCATCGTCTTTTTTGAACACGAAATCCCATTGTAACACCTCATACATAGTCATTGCAAATGAATAGACATCAGACGATTTCTTGTATTTCTTTCTGTCCAACACCTCGGGTGCCATATAAATTGGCGTTCCAATACCTTTAGTGAAAGTCATGTTAGTCATCAGTAGATTGACGTTTCTTGCACTTCCAAAGTCTGTCAATTTTGCATTCATTTTCTCTATTACATCAAGTGAGAACACAAGAATGTTGTCTGGTTTGATGTCTCTGTGTAATATCCCATTCTTGTGTAAATATGAAATACCTTTAGCTGCATCAAGTAACATTTTAACTCGCAACTTGGTCTCAATTTCATCACTTCTTTTGTGTTTAATCAAGTCTTGTAAACTCCCAAATTGTGCAAATTCGGTGACCATACATATCTTGTTTGGTATAAAAACGGCGCCATAGAAGTGAATGATGTAATCACATCTGAACTTGTCCAACATGGCAACTTCCTTTTCAAACTCATCAATTGATTTTTTTTTCATCTGAGTTGTTTATTTGTTTCATCTTTTTAATTGCAACAACATTCCCTCTGTACATTCCTTTGAACACAATACCAAAAGACCCCTCACCAAGCTTCTTTTCTTCAATTAACTCATCGTAGTCAAGACGTGTTGTCCTTTTAGTTTTTACAAACAAATTTATTGGGAAAGTCGCCATCTCTCCTGTTGATATATCTAACGAGACAATTGCGATTTGTTCTTCTAAGTTGAGAGTACAATGTGGTGTTAAAAAGATTTCAAATTCGCATGCAAATCCACTCTTTAAAGTCACTATTTTGGGTTCGGTTCTAATTGCGTATTTCTCGGAAGAACTTTGTGTTGTGATTTGAACTATTAAATTTCCTTTTCCTTTGTTCCCAACACAAAGAAGTTCTTTACTCTCCGCTTCCACTGGAATAAATTCATTCGAGTCGTTGTAATTAATTTCAGTTTTGTTTGTTAATACCCCATTTTTAAGTACAGTAAAACCTCCCAAGAGCGGGAGATGTGGTAATTTTGTTCTCTCAAGAGCGGGCATTTTTAGCCAATCAAACCTTATAAACCGCTCGATAGAGAACTCTATTTTTAGTTTCAGTCTAAAAAATGCCCGCTCTTGGGAGAACCCGCTCTTCAGAGGTACCGCTCTTGGGAGGTTTTACTGTACTTTCATTGAAATATTCGAACGTTTCATTTCAAACACACAAATTCCTTTTTCTTGTTCTTTTTTGCGATTTCGGTGAACAACAATCAACATTGTTATAACTGTGATGAATAATATTATTACTAATAATATAATACAAATTACAGGAAGTACGACGACCAAACCATAATTCGTCTTTTTGTCGCATTGAGTGCCTTCTGGATTGACTTTGAAATTGTCAGCACATTGCGTGCATTTGTTGTTTGATGCAGAAACACAATTTGAAACAGTTGAGAAATGGACACACTGTGAGTCGACTAAAACGTGTGTTGCAAGACAACTTGTGCACTCATTCAGTGATGTGCAGAGTGTGCAGTTGTCATCACACTTATCACACACATTTGTGTGTAAATAGTACCCATCGCCACATATCAAGCAGCCATAAGTGCTTGTGTTGAGACACCCAATTAACTCACTTTGTGGTCTGCAGTATTTATTGCTTGTATCAATGCGATAGAATGTGTTGTTGCAGTCAATGCAGTTGCCAAAGACATCACATTTTGCACACGACTCATCGCATTTGTCACAACTTTTGCCATCGGTGGATCGTTTGTATCCATCTTTGCAAATAGCGCATCCATCGTAATTTGGCATCATTGCCAGACATGTTGTGATGATTTCTCCAAGTGTTGTGCAATCCCCATTTGTTTTATCGCAGGCCGCACACAACTCGTCACATTTTGTGCAATTGAGAACAGTCCCTCCAACAGAATAATAGCCATCTTCACACTATACACAATCAACTCCACTTTGATAATAACCAGCTTCGCACTTTTCAGAGGACACACCTATCAATAGCATCACAAATAAACACCACAACGCATTCATCGTGGGGTTGACGGTGTTTTGTAAATACCTTCCAAATGTATTTATTGTATTAAAAGACTCAAAATTGACATGATCATTATCACCACTTTCTGGTTTTTGTTTTAGCAATACACAGTTATCAAAAGTGTAATCTGAAAGACTTTTTATTGTTCCAAGATTGACATCCATTAACCATTTGCAATTTTGAAAGATGTTTGAACCCAAAGTGACACTACTTTGTGTGTTGATAATTACTTTTTCTAATGAGGTGTTTGCAAATGAAAAATTTCCAAAAGAAGTGATATTTTCAAATCCAGTGACTGTTTTTAGCACGGAGCAGTCTTTAAATGTACCAGCTGGTATTTCTGACAATCCTTTCAAGTAGACAGAAGTGAGCTCTTCGCAGTCATAAAATGTGTAAGTACCAATGTGTTCGATTACATTTTTAAAGTTGTTGTCTGTAATTTAGAATGCGCAAAAGAGTATTTTTTAATTTCATTTTAATCACTTGATGCAATAAAAGAAGACAATGCGGTGTATGCAAACGAATAATTACCAAATACAGTCACCGAATCAATACCAATAACAGTACTAAGTGATGAACAACCAGAAAAAAATTTACTTGGAATATTAACAACATTATTTAAATCAACTGTTTTCAATGAATTACAGTTTTCAAACAACGACACATATCCGTCTTCTACATGGTTATTCAATTTGGCAGTTGTTATCCCAGTTTCTGCAAAAGCACCAACTCCAAATTTATAAATATTTTCCATGTTTTTCACGTTATTCAAATTGCGACATTGATAAAACATGTTATTCGATATCACTGCCTGAGTCCCAACAACTGTCACTGTTGTTAGATTCTGGCACCCTTGAAATATCTTAGTCCCATATGTAACATTTTCTTTTATTTCAAGTTCTGTGACTCCGCTCATAGCCATTGCTTCATCCCCAAATGAAATAATGTTGTTAAAAATATTAATTCCATTTTGGGAAAGTTTCGAACATTCATAAAACAATCCTTTTTGTAATGAAGTTACAACACCAGAATAAGTGACTTTGATAAGATCTTTGCAATAACTAAAAGCGTTGTCATTTTAAACTGCGGATTTACTGATATCAACCTCTGTGATTTTGGTGTAACTAAATGAGTAAGATCCAAAACTAGTTACATTAGCAAGTCCAGTAATTGTTTTGAGATTTGTACATCCATAAAAACAACGAACTGGAATTATTACAGTTGATCCCAAATTAACACTTTCAAGTGTTGTTATGTTTTCAATCACGCTATCTTCTAATATAATTGATTTATTGGGCAATTTTAAATTTCTCAACTTTGTTCCACTAAAGGCACATGAAAATAGTTGTTCTGCATCATCAGCTATACGAATAGATATAATTGGGTCATTCATAAAAGCGGAAGTATTAACTATTTTTAATCCATTAATAGTGTCAACTTGACTTAGAGAACTGCGATTAGCAAATGCATAAGAATTAATGACTTGATTTGAACCTAAATTTACATAGTGAAGGTTGACACAATTA